GACATGACGTACGCCGGGGTAAGGAGGGGAGGCTAGACCGTCCAAATTCACAGCCTCTTTTTTTCCGGTCTTCCCGGTCTACCAAGGACCCGGACCGCCACGACCGGGGAGTCTGGGTCCTCTGGAGGACCTGGCCTGCCGTTTTGGACACAGCCACTCTAGTCTTTGTTTATTGAAACACTCTTATTTAAACTCGTCTTCAGTTCTGATAGTGACTCAAAATAATCTAAAGAAACAGATTCTTCTAATTATTGCAGCATTGCTCTGTTTAGATGCTGATATTCCCCTCTGACATCACTTCCTGTTTCAGTGTTCATCTCAACGACATGAAATTTGTTTTGCAGCATGTTATAAATGTTCTCTTTCCAAAAAATGCATTCATGTTTATTACAAAAATCTGATGTCACAGGCACTTTCAGAAGCTTCTAACGTCAAACAGAACAGGCATCGTTAGCACATTTTTTATTTTTGTTTTTTAAAAATATTCTCGTAAACACACATCTGTTTTTAAAAATGTATCCATCCACACAGAAACGACCCACACGTTGCAGTAACCATGCCAGACCTGTGTGTGGCGCTGCAGGAAACAAGACTATGATATTTAAAATACGATAAAAAACCATTTTGTAGTTGCAGAGATGCAAGTTATCGATTAATGAATTAATCTAAAGTTGATTGATCTTATCGATCGACTAACGATTAATTGATAAGCGGCCATTTTCCTAAAAACCTGACATTTCTCTTGAATCAAGGGTCTTTCATTACATGAAGGGCTAATTTTTTACACTAAATAAAAAAAGTACAGTATTATACTTTATTAAATGTTTTGTGCCAGCTGACTGAATAAAGAGAGAATTGTGTATTTCTCTCACATTATTAAACTTGGACATATTTATAAAATATAACAAAACAGAAATCTATTAGGTTGCTAGTTGGGGAATAAAGGAAAGAAAAAAAACATAAAACATTTAATCCTCCCTGAACAGAGAAATGTAAAACTAACATTTAAACACAGGGTAACATTTTAATCTAAAGATTTACTCAAAAACAAACTATAAACTTGACTGAGAGGGGTGAACATGTAAATGAGTACTGGGACTGTGTTTGTTTACGTTCCCTGTGGGCTGATCTGACGTCAGTTACTGTTCATTTGATCTGTTCACTGGTCAGGTTACGTCACAGATGAGATTAACTTCACTGTAATTATTTGTGACTAACTTTTTTTGTTTTGTTTTGTTATTTCACATAGAGTTAAACTCTACAAGAAGAAGCTAACGTTAGCTAAAGTTAGCTTACCATTGTGTCGTCCTGCTCTTGTCGTTAGCGTCATGCTGCTGGATGGTTCGGTACAGCCTTCGATACGTTTCCTTCCAGTTTGGTTTAGTTCATTATTGTTGTTGTGTCACAAATCAAACTAAAAAAGATTTGCGTGTTTAACTACGGAGGCGGCCGACCATCTGCTGTACGGAGCCCGCGAGGGGACATGGGGGGATTTTTTTCTTTTGCGTTCCCTCGCAATAATTTTGCGTTACCTCGCAATATTGTTTTGCGTTCCCACGCAAAAATTTGTTTTGTATATGAACTCAATTAAATCAGACTTTTATTTTGAAATATCCGGTTACCCAAACAGGATGTCTCGCCACAAGTTCGTGTAATTGACATTGATGTTGCGTGGCTGTACTGTGTTAAAATATCATCATATGACGTACTTCCATGTGTGTCTGTGATATATTCATTCTGTAGCTGGATTAAAGCAGGAGGCTAACTCGCTAATGGTGAACATGTGAGCTTGTTAATGAACCGGCAGCACAACAGTGTTAAACGACTTTTGCGAGGGAAAGCAAAAAGGAAAAAAAAAAAATCCCCCATGTCCCCTCGCGGGCTCAGTACTACTCGACTCAACAGGGCCAGGGTAAAGTTAGGCCAGGCAGAGAGAGCAGCAGCGCCCTCTACTGGATGAAGGCAAAACTACACTGAAATAAGGTTTAAACAAATGTTTTCAATTAATGGAATGGAAGGAATTTTAATCTAATAAACAATTATTGACAATTAATCATAAGTGGATTAATTGTTTGCATCTCTAGTACTGTCCTTGTTCCTTGATATCATTTAAACTAGGGATGCACGATAACGCATTTTAAGAACCGATAGCGATCAGTGTTTCCCCTAGGAAATTGGTCTAAAAAAACATAAATTTACGTGACTCACCTGCAATTATGGTAATACATTTACACATAACATGAAGATTTAATTGTCTAACTACATCCTAGTTAAGGACTACTCATGATAATTATCAATAAAATTACTATTGATAATAAGTGATCAGAACTGTGTGCAGCAGATGATCTGAGTCCAGAGTTCTCAGTTTGAAACTGTTATGGACTAATTATTTATATCTGTTTCACCTTGACGCTGTCCCGTACTAATATCTTAAGATAACTTTTGGCTGTTTTAATCTGTTTGCCCCAGACTTTAAGACTCCAGCAATGATGACCTCTCTTTATTTTGATAAGGTAGCTCTTGGGCTGAGAGCCCTGTTATTGGTTAGGTGAATGCATTACGAGTCCGCATTATACTTACAGGAACACACACAGCAGCAGCTTGGCATGGTAAACCATGGCTAACGATGGTAAACCATGGCTAACGATGGTAAACCWTGKCTAACGATGGTAAACCWYGGCTAACGATGGTAAACCTTGGCTAACGATGGTAAACTGTGTCTAACGATGGTACACCTTGGCTAACAATGGTAAACTGTGGTTAACAAGGAGATTAAAGCTTCAGTCTTTAGCGAGGGTGAACAGCTGGTTGTCATCATTCCCATTGTTAAATTGCTTGAGATCTGCATCCTCTCTGGAAATTTTATTGGATTTGTCCAAAGCTTCAGCAATGATTTAAGTCCTGACGAGTTAGCTCGTTGTTGTTAGCATCTTAGCAGACGGACTCTGTGCTGCGTTCAGGAGGTAACGGACATTACATGTTCTCAAATTGGGAGTAGTTGTTCCGATGTTTATAATTATAAAGTTTGTGTGTAACATACAGGGTTAGTTGGTAAAATAATATTAACAATTATTAAAATGACTGGTTTTTTTTCAGCACAGAGTATTCTAACAATTTATCTAGTGAGAAAGTTGTTTTTTCCGACGTAACTTGAATGTTGCTCGGGTCATGTTGGACGGGAAGCAGCTTGACCAAAACGGATAAAAATAAACACGCATTCTCATCGCCAAGCTGACAAACATATACATATATTATCAGTTCTGTTTGTTATGATATCGGACCGATAAGTATGACGTCATAATTCCCTGATATTGGGTCGATAACTATCGTAATTTAAACATCTCGTTCACATTCAGGACAAGCATTTTTACCATGTTTGTTTTGTATGTACTGTTTCTATAATTATTCTTGTAAACATGGCATTTTTAAAAGGTTTTTATCCACACAGAAATTATTAGAGGTTAGGATGAGGATGAGTTTGGCCAGACAGTTCAGAAAATAGTGAATATTGTAATTGATTTGTAGTTAAAAGTCTTCTAGATATTTTAGTGTTTTAAGGATGGTTGAGTTTTAAATGTTTCCATCATGATAAAACTGATGACCTCCACAGGTCAGATACATTAACAGGAAGTGAAATCAGGCAGGTTGTGGGCGGAGCTGCTGTTGGAAGTTTGTGTGTAGTAGTTGTGGTTCTGCTGCAACTGCAAACCTTCCTGCTGCACGTCACCTGCAGCCAACTGTCACCTGATTAAAACTGGGTCTCTGCTGTTAACCTGCTGGGACCGAGGAGCCTGCCGTTGCTTCATTGTTTTCTAACAGGAAGTGATGGCGCAGCTGCGAGGGAGAGTTTGTGTTGCAGCTCACTACATGTGGGGTCTGAGGAGGCTGAGAGAAAAGTGTTAAAGTGTCCTCTGCGGTGGTTTGAACCAGTGAACTGTGCAGCCTGTTGGTGTGTCCAGCTTCTTAGCTCTCGTTATTCTTTCGACCACATCGTACCCACCTCCATCCAACTGCACCTGCTGCACCTGGGGTCAGAGCTTCAGGTTCTCTACACCTGATGGTCCAATGTTTACTTTTCGTCTGACTTCCTGCCTGCTCAGGAGCAGAATGTCTCTTCTGGAGCCACTGAAAGCTCTGGTTTAAATCCATCAATTAGCCTGGATCCATTCATGTAGTCCAGATCATTCATCTGGTCTGGATCCATTCATCTGGTCTGGATCCATTCATCTGGTCTGGATCCATCCATTCACCTGGTCTGGATCCATCCATCTGGTCTGGATCCATCCATCTAGTCTGGATCCATCCATCTAGTCTGGATCCATCCATCTAGACTGGATCCATCCATTCATCTAGTCTAGATCCATCCAACTAGTCTAGATCCATCCAACTAGTCTGGATCCATTCATCTGGTCTGGATCCATTCATCTGGTCTGGATCCATCCATCTAGTCTGGATCCGTTCATCTGGTCTGGATCCGTTCATCTGGTCTGGATCCNGTCTGGATCCGTTCATCTGGTCTGGATCCGTTCATCTGGTCTGGATCCATTCATCTGGTCTGGATCCATCACTCTGGATGGATCTGTTTATCCTGACCTTCCTCAGACCTGAGCGTTCAGACTGAGGTTACCGAGAAAACATCAGATCTGGATCAGATTCAGGACCACAGACCCGGGTCAGAATTGTGTCTGAAAAATGTTTTTGATTTGTTAGTAATAAATAAATGTAATCTTTAATAAAACGATGTGTTTCTGAATGATGTTCTTCTGATGTTTCCTCAGAACTGTTTCCTCCTCGGGTCCAGCAGCCGAAGGCGCCTCGGTCTCCAGACGTTAGTCTGCACCTGGTCTGAATGAGTTGTGTCCAGGGCCCGGCCTAGTTCCTGGTTCTCCTTCACCTCCTGTCATCTCCCTCCTTCCCCCCACCCT